GCTCTGCCACCACGTGCATGTGGACTGCCCCAGCTGCTCTCACACCATCGCCTCGCCTTAATGGCGCTGCGGCCGCGCAGGCCGCGCCCCAACTTGACTCCCCACATGCGCACGTGGTCTGGTCGCGTGTCGCGTAGCGAGTGCACAGACACAGTCGTGGGTCCGACCGACTTCTAGCTGGCAAGGTGAGGACGACCAAAGCTGGGACCCGTCTCCCTCTTTCCCTCTGCTGCCGTCGTTGGAGTCGCGCTAGCACGTTAGACAGGGAGACGTCATCTCCAATCAATTCCTCCCGTCTACAGCCCCACCAGTGAGTTCTCCAGCTGCCCAACCCCACCCAGTCATGAAGCACGTACTGCCAAGCTCCAATTTAGAGCTTTCCCCGCCGCCATGCCGATAAGGCCATGATCGGCCATGGACGAGGGCAGTCCCCGACCCGTCCATCCCAATCCAATTCACCTACACCACTAGCTTCGCCTTGCCTCCCTAATCCATAAACTAAGTATTTAATACTTCAGTGCAGAAACTAGAAGTTTAAGTCCTACCCTGAATATGTTGTTGTACACTGAATAGTGCACTTGATATGTGAATTTCATGTCAGAATCCATAAATACCAGAAGTATGATTGGATTCTATGTAACATTAGAAATGATTATTCATAAATGATGCATGTAACATATTACTACTTGAAGTAACTATGGCATGAAAAAGGAGAGAAATTTTAGGTAAAGGCATAAGAAAATATGGGTAATATATTTAGTAGGCATAGCCTTTCTAAATCTATCTTTAAGTGCATGTATCAGGACTTGAAGTCCTAGCCGCATCTCTTTCGGCCGAGTTAACTTTCTCTACATTGCACTAATTGCAAGCAAGCTTATAGCTTTGTATTTTGTTGTTATCTATTACGTTGGATTAAATACCAACATTTCACATTACACGTGAATGTGTATCACTATGTTGTGCTCTCGTCGAGCTACAACTACGTTCACTCCTACATGAATAATAGTATAGCAGATACATTTGTAGCTAGTAGCTACCTTTGTACTTCCCTCATAATTACATTGGCTAGCTAGTATGCTATGTCTATATAGTTCTCGTTAAACTAAGGAATATTTTGCTTTCATTGCATCGCATGCATAAGCAATAGATTGGTCTAGGGCCAAGTAGCCTAAGATCAGGAGGAGTTGGTTAATCTGAAATTGGCTAAATAGAGAAGTGGTGGCAATTGAGTTGGTAGATAGCACACTTATGATGATTTGGATTAATGACAACTAGAAATTCTATAGATAAAATTCCATGTGAATCTGAATGTTGCATATTTTATACATTGAAGTATATGGTCCATTTTTTATAAGTAATTGGATCAATTTTTTGGCTAGACAATAAAATAGTTGTCTAAACTATGATTTATGCAAATTAGGGGGAGAACATCCCTAAGTTTGTAGAAATGCTGAACATTCTTAAGTGCACTTTATATATTCTAGCTTGCTGCATTAATGAATAATAACCCCCGTGTTTAAATATGTGCGTTAATATTCCCATAAATCTCTATCATAGCATACATGAATATGCCTCCACTTAAAATTGGAGATACATGAATTTGATTTTTTTAGCTTATGATTGGGGATATATTTTGAAGTATCCTATTAAAGATCTAATAATATTGGTATTAGGGGGAGAGAAAGCCTACTTTGAATGTCAAATATTATTTCTACGGAAGAAAAATGATCTTAAGAGAAAAATATTCCATGAAGCTTGAAGCAGGAATAGTGTCCGCACTAAATCAAACAATAGTTTGACTAATGCTCTTGTGAAGCATGAAGCAGGGCATATGCCAGATATTTTTAAAAATGAGAGGAGTAATTTAAAGTTATAAACCAGAAGTTGTGTTTACTAGTAGTAAACTAAATGTTGTATGCTATCAAGCTAAAATCCACGAGGACGCCTGTGGGTTCTAGTTTAGTGTATACTTGTTCAATAGAAATAAAATAAGAACAAATTCCTCCGTTCTCATGAAGAGAACACCTCATGAAGAAGGTCAAGCACCTCATGAAGAGGATCATCAAGAAGATAAAATCCAACACACTAAGCGCGCGCTTCATGTGTTGGGTACGTAGAATAATAAAATATCCCTTGTTTGGGAAATGACAAAGAGATAGAATGATCTCATATTGTATGAATATTGGGAGAAAATAATAGTTGTTGACAACTCTACCGCTATAATTGCAAATGTTTCTCTTATGAGAACCCGGATTTGAAAAACAAAGTCCATGACAAAGTTGCCTGTAGCGATTATATCGGGTCAATGAAGAAAACAATTGAGGTTAAATCTCCTAGTAAAAAGAAATAAATGTTCTGCTATATCTCTGGCAAATGAAATGAATGAATATGAAATGTGCAGTTAATAAGTGGATTATGAAGATCCATATAGTTCCTAAAGAATGTAAATTGCAATATATGGAAATTAAATCTCATACAAAGTATTAGAAGTCTAAGGTATAATATATTCCTGAATGAATATTGAAGTCTCAAGAAGAGCATGTCCTAGAAAGAACAGTCATCGAATGACTTTGTAGTGAATAACACTATCTCATTGTGTATATCACATAATAATCTCTCATGTAGTAGAGAATATATCTCATAGAAGATAAAAGTTATACATTAAGAATGAGAACATCCTTGAAGGATTTAATCAATGAAGAATTTACCAGTTGATTCTTGAAAATCATCATTAATCCCTGAAGTGAATGTAGACCCGAGAAAAAAAAAATGAGGAATCCTAAATACCATGAAGGTGTCATACAAATACTCAGAAAGTGTATATTGTAAAGCTAGCAATGAAGTTTTGATGTCCTCTAAATATCATAGAAGGAATGAGAATAATGGTGATTTTGGCAACTGAATTATCCCCTAAATATCAAATGTAAGACTGGATTTATTATTTAGTGGTACAATCAAAATCTAGAAGATTTATAGAGAATATAATTTGGAAATCCACTAAGAAAGAATTAGAGAAGTATTCAAACTCTAAATATAAGTTTGATACACTGTCTAGAAGATATTGAATATTGTAAATTATTTACCCCGTAATCCTCTGAAAAGATTTAATATCCTGAAGGATTTATTTTGCACAACTAATTAAGTGGTTATTTATGCATGGAGCATATTGCTCTTGTTTACTCATATTATAATTGCAAGCCAATATTTTGAAAGATATAGTATTGTGGTAATGCATACCATTATTAAGCACATATTTATGAAAAGTGTGGTTTGAACAATGATGTTCAAGGGACCGCTTTATGAGGGGGAGCAATTTATTTGAATCTACCTTAAAGGTAATCAAACCACTAGAATTATTAAGATCAAGTAGATCATATTTACTAAAAACGTTGAAGTTTATGCATTTATCATAAAGATAAATATCTATTCATGAAGAATAGAATATCCGGAAGAATACATGACCAAGAAGGTTAAATATTGTACTCTTTTTTTCTATGTGAGTTTTTACTTTAAGGTTTCTCACACAGGTTTTTAATGAGATAACACGTGCAATGCAATTAACGAATGCGATGTACTCTTTTCTCCAAGAACCGTTTTTTCCACTGGATTTTCGGATGGAGTTTTTAATGAGGCATGTGCATATCGTGGTAATCGCCCAAGAGAGAGTGTTGTAAAACATACATACTCTATCCTAGAAGAAAAGGAGAAGAAGAAATCCTAATCCTAGTATGTTCTCTTACCAAACTCTTAGAACTTGGCAAGACTATATATACGTGAGAGCTTTATGTTGTAATCACTAATATTCAGAGAAATAAAAATTGTCTCTTTATCTTGTGTCTATTTGTTCTTCTACTTTCATCTACTATGTTGATCATAAGAGACAAAGAGAAATATTTTAACCACTGACAACGTGTTTTATAACATCCGTGCGACACCACCAAATCGTGTGATAGGACACCGTTCAAAACTTCTAACTGCTTGGCTCGATCACGCGGCACCGCTGATCGCCTTGACTATATGTGGGACCTGGAGGTTCTATGCGACGGTGCCGCGTAGAATTTTTTTTCCTGTGTCGGTGCAATGTAATGACAAAGTAAATCTTACATTTAGTTCATAATTTTATCCAATACGGTTAGCATCATTTAAAGATTGACGGACACCATATGTGATTGTTTAGATCTTAGGTGCCTTTATGACTCTAAATGCACCTCGTCTAGCGCTAAAACAATAATTATGATAAAATCGTGAAAATCATATTGGTTCAAATTAATCTTACGTGCAATTGGTCCATCGATTCCCTGATGCATAGGCATGATAAGCTTGCATGTAGCACAACAGTCATAATCTTTCAACTTTTTCTTTGCTATAGTAACTAGTTAGAAGTAGAAACAACTATGTTTTTATAACATGACTTATAATTTGGGATGGAGGGAATACAAGAATTTTATATAGGACATAGCCACATAGGGCATTGCTCTTGCCCTGTGTTCCGTGTGCTTGTCTATGCAACCCTTAGGGCTCGTTCGGTTATGCCGGAACGGGTCCGGAACAGCACGGAACATTATGTGGCTGGGAATAGTTATGATATAACCGAACGGGCCCTCAAGGTTGCTGAGGTCCTAAAGGTAATTGAGAATCGTTGTTGACTCGTGGACACTTTTTAGGAGTACTGTCAAATTTGAATGAAGTTTGTTCGATGACACATTAACATTAATTGTTTGGATTCCTGTTTGAATTCCATGCATGTGCCGCATTATGGCGAAAACCAGCAGACCTTAACAGACAGAGAGTACAAATATATGCCAAGCCGTCAACTCCCAAAAGGCCGATCGATAGATACAGACTCAAGACTCTGGCATATATGTATCTACTTTATACTACTGTAAATTCAGATTTTCTTTATTGCTACTGATTGGACTTTGGAGCCTACAATATAGATTTGTTTGGAGCCCTAGTAACTTCTGAAGATGCAATATTTAGCACTTGGTATGCCATGTTCATCAGCCGTCACCTAGCTTGCTGAATAGTATTAGACCCTGCAGTGTTCAAAATTAATTAAACACAGATTAGGACCGGCGACAAGCACTGAATACGTGATTCTTCGTCCGTTCCAAATTATAAGACGTTTTGACTTTTCTAAATTTATAGTTTTTTCTACGCAGCTAGATATAAATATGTCTAAATCTAGAAATGTTAAAATGTCTTATAATGTAATTTGGAACTGAGGAAGTAATAAGTTATGGACATGCTGAAGAAGTGAAGCAGACGCAGATGCTCTGCGTGCCAGCATATATATACGCGCGACGACGGACGTACGTACTTGGTATATTCGATTTGTATCTTGCCGGCGTCGGGGTCGGCGATGACGGCGAAGGCCTCCTGCGAGAGGTCGATGGTGCCGCGGCACCCCGCCGGGCAGAGGTCGACGATCTTGACGGTGACGCTCCGGCCGGTGCAGGGGTGCGGCACACCCTGGTTGGTGGCGCCGGTGCACGTGACCACGTACCGGTCGCCGCAGGCCGCCCCGCCGTCCCAGAAGACCTCGCTCGCCGCCGCGATCGTCGTCCCCTCCGCCGCGTTCCCGAAGCACGCCGACGCTGCATTGCATCATCCACACGCAGCGACATTCGTTCATAAATGATGCGAAGCAAGCTGCTAGTACTAGCATATGCATGCAGTGATAAATTAGGCCTGTTCAGATCTAGCTAGTAAAGTTTTGATGTCACATCGGATGTTATATGGGGTGGATGTATGGGGTGTTCGGATACTAATAAAAAAAAATTATAAAATCCGTCAGTAAACCGCGAGACGAATTTATTAAGCATAATTAATCCGTCATTAACACATGCATACTGTAGCACTTTATTGTCAAATTATGGGCTAATTAGGCTTAAAAGATTCGTATCGCAAATTAGTCGTAAACTGTGTAATTAGTTATTTTTAGTCTATATTTAATGCTACATATATGTCCAAATATTTGATGTGACAGACTGTAAAGTTTTAAGGCGAGAACTAAACAAGGGCTTAATATAATAGACCAGCATATAGCATGTACACGTACGTACGTGTGTAAGGAGGCGTGTAGAAAGTTGCAGTCCCTGAGATCCCGGCGACCGGCGATACCATCGTCGTCGCCAGGCCCGCCACAATTGCCAGGAAAACGACCAACATTTCCTTGTTAGGCATCGTCACTGCCATCGACCGACCGTGTAACGAAGTGTATATGCTGAGGATGATGATCCTATGGATGCTGCATACGAGTACAAGATGGCACGGAGAGCAAACACGCTTTTATAGGCAAGTAGCGTCGGAAAAGTACAAGGACGTGTGTGAGCATGCTGACGCGCGCCGTGACGACGCGGTACACCATATACGACCTTCCAAACGACCAGATCTCTAGTTAGTAGCTACACACTACAACTAGCTAGATACAAGCACGCGTGATTAAATATACGACAAGTTACGGTTCATGTGTAGCGTTGCAACTTGCTCATCTGCTTGCACACCCTCTGGGCCTGTTGTTTGCTCAGTCTGTTTATTAATATAATCTGCAGTGGTTCGTTTTTTTTTAAAAAAAAACTTTGCTCATCTGCTCGTGAAGTTGCAGGCCGTCTTCTTCTTCTTCTCGCGTGCCGGCTTGGCTTCTCCGCGAGAGCCTTACGTACGTGCAGTCGTCGTGCACGTACTGCCGGCCGGCCGTCGCTTCGGGCTACGAGAGCAGGCGGCCGGCCGGCAGATGGATTATCGATCTGACCTCAACTAAGGGTGGATTAGCGATTAGCCGATTAGCATGGACTCGGACAAAAGTTTAAACGCGATTGAAGGCTGAATGCGTCTTTCTCTCGGCTGTATTGCCGCAAACAGATGGTTGTTTATGTCGGATGCTGTTGGTACCATCTAAAAGATATAGCATACAAGATGAGCAATGTGGGATCAGCGAATTGGCATACTCGATCATCAGCTCTGAGTGTTGCATCCTCCTGCTACTTGCACCTGCTAGGGGAGTATCCATCTTCAAGTGGGTGGTGGCGCGGGGCGGCCGGCTGCATATGGGACAGCGTCACAGCGACTTGGCCGTCGCAACTTTATTGGTGCGTCGTGGCAGTCGCACCAGGGCTTTACACAGTTAGTAGCTCATTATTTTTAGTGAGAGTTGTGTTTTAAAGAGTGCCATTATTGGTGGTTCAAATAGCCACACACAGTGCATTGTTTCTTTTTGCTGTTTATCAATGCTCGCTACGTCTTTTTTTTTTTAGAGATACACGGGTTTCATGAAGAAGAAGTTAGAAGTTTTATACGTCCGTCATCACATCACGGCGAGCTGCCATGCGCGATGGGGTTGAACACAAACACAAGGCACCGCTAGGCGGTGAAACGTACACTATTTTAACTAACTAAGAAACTAAATGTGCGACTGAAGAGCTTGTGACGGTGAGCAAACCCGTGCTCAAGATGCCTGCGGCACCACTCGCCTCCTGCGAGCACCAGCCATGGGGATGAGCTCTCGCATGGCTGCTCGTTTGGAGGAGGGCAACCGCTCAGCGAAAGTGTCATGGAACCGAGCCGTGATGGATGCGTCGGGTGTTGTCGGTGACGTCCGCGTCCGCGACGCCCTCACCAAGGAAGCAAGGCCGCCATTTGCTGATGCTCACTACGTCCCAGAATAAATCAATTTTTATCCTAAGTTAAACTTTGTTAAGTTTTGACCAATTTTACTAACATCTACAACATAAAAAATATAGTATGGACATATATATTTTATGTTTGTACTTTGCACATAACCATACTAATTCATATCATTAATCTTCATCTTTTCTCTATATACAACATTTAGTCAAATTTAAAAAGTTTTACTTTGGATAATTCTGGGAGTTGATTAATTCAGGGACGGAGGAAGTATACAGGCGAAAAAAGTGATTTGAACTGTAAATTGATTTGTAATAACTTCGGATTTTGGTGTTTCTGCCCCTACTTCATACTCCAATGATGATTTTGCCCCTTCTTTTTTAACTTTGTGACTTTACCCTTGTCATTTTCAATCGAAGCCCCCGTTTGCCCCTGCTTTGTAACACCGTCTAAAATGATCGAATTAAATGACAAAAGAAAAAGAAAAAATAAAGGCAGGGACACAAAAAGACAATGATACCCCTGGAACCCTTCCTTCTCCTTTCTCGCTCGAACCGTCTTGAAGGAGAGGCAAGGCTCGCGTGTTAGGGTTTCGGGATGCCAGCGGTGAAGTCCTCCCGGCGGCTGCGATGGCGTGGCTACCAACGGCGGCACTCCCATTGGCCTCCTCCTCCCTCCGCCCCGCTTCTCCCCTCGGCTCGCGCCCGGGCTCCGCCCCGACCCCTCCTCCCGGCTCACGCCCGCATCTTCCCTCGCGTGTACACCATCAGCCCGCTCGTTACGTTCGCCAGCGCCATGGCCCGTCCGGACGCAGCTGCGATCTGCGACAACCTCTGGAAGGAGGACCGAGCTGCCTCCGGTGGCTGGACGCCCTGGCGGGCAGCTCGGTATAGTACGTCAACTTGGCCTAGCAGATGACTAACTGCCGACATGCCTGAACATGTCAATTTTAGAATTCAGAGTGAAGATGCAAGCTTGCTTGTCAGTATTTTTAGGTAGGCCTGTAGCCTGTAGTTTCACCTGCCATGCTACATAACGAACTGCGAATCATTTTATTCTTCTGTTAATAAAACATGCCACCAAAACTTATGCTAGCGAATTCCTAAATTTTGAAGTTGAAATTCAGTCGGCCGTACAATGGATTTGGGGAAGAAATGCAATTCAAGAATTCAAAAAAGAATTAGAAATAATGAAAGAACAAATCTCTGGGAACTTTTTCCATCAAGACATGAGTGTCATGGACTCTGTTAGAGACCACAAAGTTAAAAATCATAAAGTCAAGTTTTGCACTGATTCAATTGTATAACTGTGTATCAAAATTGCCAGATTGCTGATATGAAAATAGGGGTAAAAACATAAATATCAAAATAAAACAAGGGTAAAAACGCATGGGCAAAGTTGTCCTTTGGTGCAAAAGTTAACACCGTTAGAGGGACTTCACATATTAGGGATAAAGTCTTCATTTGTTTAGAAATAGCAGGGGTAAAATCACAAAGTTAAAAAAACGAGGGTAAAATCACAAATACGCTTCAAAACAGGGGTAGAAACGTTTAAGCCCCATAACTGACTAGTTTAATTATGAGTAGTAGGGGGGAGGGGGTGTATTTCTCTAGAAAAAAATAAACCCAAAAAACTAGCTATAGGAGAGCGCAATACATATATGGTTTCAGTTAGGTTACGTTAAATCTCTTTCATTTCTATCTTCACTAATTCTTTGCTCAAACTAATAATAGTGAAGCTCACATGGGGATTGCACTAGTCGACTCACATATCACAGGATGGTTCAAAGGCTCCAATTATCGACTTGAGCCTACAAATTTCCATTTGTCTTTTGTGTTCCAACTTGCTACCTTACTTCAAAGCATATGCTATGCCATGACAGGTTGTAGCCTTGCCGAGGGTGTGACACCCTCGCCCCACCCCACCCCTAGGTTGTTAATTTAGGTTTCGAGGCATACCACTCGCATTAGGACCTACTCCCTCCATTCCAAATTGCAAGTCATTCTGACTTTTCTAGATATATAACTTTTACTATGTATCTAATCATAATGTATATCTAAGTGCATAGTAAAAGCTATGTATCTAGAAAAGCCAGAATGACATGATTTGAAACGGAGAGTAGAATTCAAGGTGGTTGGTGAGCCAACCAGGGTGGCGGCACCGCGGCAAAGCAGTGATGGCTAGGAGCAGTGCTATGCATGGGTGACGTCAAGTATTGGGGCATCAAGGTGGCAATACTACTGATACTCAAGGGTTGAGGCATCGGTAGCAGGAAAGCTGATGGTATGATGGTCAACGGTTCTAACAAGATTATTAGTAGGCAAGGTCAAAGCAGCGATTGCAGGAAGTGGATGGTGCGACGAACCAGCTTGAACCACCCATTGATGGAGGAAAGGGATATGGCCATGGGGTGGGGAAGTCAAGGCACCAGTGGAAGCACTTTTGACTGTGATTGATGGTAGTAAGTGGCCTCATTGAGGTTGTTTCAAGTTAATGATCTTAAAGAAGTTAGATTAGTCGAGATCAGACTTGAAATAGGCTAAAATACAACGTCGAACGGATCATAGGGTCGACCCCTGACGGATCGTCTATTGATGTTGTTTAGCAACTTAACCTAGTAATGTAGCGGGCGATGCATGATTCAGTGGAGAACTTCGCGACCTCGGCGGTTCATCCGATGAAGCCAATCTAGACTTAGTGACAAGTTGGCCAGCTTACAATGGTGCGCTATATGACTCGGTCGAGGACTATGTGACCTTGGCGGATCATCCGTAAAAGTCCAAGTTGATTTAGTGACTTATTGGCATGGTTACTGGAGTGCACCGTATTTCGGTGGAGGACTTTAGTGGCCTCGACGGGATCATCCGGTGAGCCATTTAGCCAAGTCTATGTGGTGCACCATATGATCCAGTGGGACTGTGTGACCCACTGACGTATCATACGATGGAGAATATTATAGAATATTCTGAACTAGTCATTGAATAAACCTATTTGAACAACACCACCGTATGATCCGGTGAGGCCTTTTTGAGCCAGTAGATTATCTAGTGTTCATTGTGTCTACCAACTTTTTTCCAATGGCTAGCAACCTCTTCACCCTCTATATAAGTGCTACCCCTGGCTCATTTGGATCTTCCTTTTGACCCCATTGTACCCAACAGTTATAAAGAAAGGATAGTGAAGCATTTGGAGAGCCATCTAAGTCGAGAAGTGAGATTCGAGTGTTAGCCCAAAGTGCTATCGGTTTTCTTGATTGGAATCTTGAAGACTTGTTACTCTTGATGTTTTCTAGCACCTAGAAGGCCCAATGAAGGACCTGGTGACCTTCCTTGGTGGACCTATTGTCAGGAGGCTACTAGAATCTTGTACGTGGTTTTCAAACCCACCATGTCGGAGTGGTGAGAACTGGTATTCACTAGTGGAGCGGAGTTTAACCAAGTCTTTGTGACTTTAGTGCTCCAACATGGATTAGGGGGCTGTGACAACAACCCAAGGCCACATGAAAATTTTTGGCTGTCTCTTTACCTTGCTCTTTCATACTTGCTTTACTTTCTTTGATTGCAAGCCTTGTT